TAAATAACAACTTTATCATCTATATATATATGTTTCATTTGTAGGCTGATATGTTTCTTTAGTTGGCTTTATATCTTTATTTTGTTGGCTGATATATTTATTTTGTCGTTGGCTTATATGTTTCATAATGTTGGCTGATATATTTATTTTGTTGGTTTATATATTGCTTTTGTTTGCTGATTTCATCCTTTTGTTGGCTGATATGCTTCACTTATTGGTTGATATCTTCCTTTTGTTGGCTGATATGTATCTTTTGTTGGCTGATAGTTCATTTTGTTGGCTGATATGATTTTATTAATGTCTGATATGTTCCTAATATTGACTGATATCAGACATCAGTTGGATGATATGTTCCTTTTGTTGGCTTATATACATAATATCACATCCAGGTATAAAGGATATCATCCAACTTATAGATGATATCATCCAACTTATAGATGATATCATCCAACTTGTAGATGATATCATCCAGACAATGGAATTTATTTTATAAAAATAATAATAAGAATAAAAGTAAGATAGAAATGAAAAGGAACCTGAAAATTGAGAAAATGAAAAGACTGCAAGTTTCCATGAATTGGCGGAAGAAAGCGGAACCATTGCTGTCGCAAGATCACAATAGAATTTATTTTATAAAAATAATAATCCACCATTGCTGCCGCAAGGTCCATTTTCCGATCGTCATCGCCAGTTGTCATCGCCAAAGTCATCGTCATCCACCATTCACCGTCATCGTCATCGCCGTCATCCACCATTGTTGTCGTCATCGTCATCGTCATCCCCTCCGCCGCACGAAACATTGGGTGCGGACTCCCAATAGTTTGTGTCTGTTTTTCTTTTTAAATGTATCAGTTTGACCGGCACATTTGCCAAGACTTAACTTTGACCATTAATATTTTAATTGTCTACTAGTAAAAATTGTAACAAATTATATATTATGAAAGTAGACATTGTGACAAATCAAATGATATATTATATAATAAAATTTATTTATTTTATGATAGCAAATAATTAAGTCAAACATGACATGTGAATAATGTTAAAGTCAAACTGATGAATTAAAAAAAAAAAAAAAAAAAAAAACGGAGGAAGTAATACTTAGTTAAATTAAAGGATACAATATAATTCCTATACTTTGTTAAGCAACTAACAATTACTATAATTCGTACGCTTATGCTAGTATGTTTTATGTTTGATTTTTTATACTTAGTGCTTGTTTGGTTCAACATGGGAAATAATTTCCCACGTGAAATCATATATCATGGGAAGTTAATTCCCTTGCTAATTGCATAAAAATTTAACAAAAGTGTTTGATTGACATCATGGGAATTAGTATTTCCTAGGAAATAACTTTCTATGTATTATAGGAATTCACTCACCTTGGGGGGCTTGGTGAGTTATTTCCCATGCTATGTGGCTCTTGGAAATTTCTAGCCAAACACAACATATTTTAGCTATTGCCTAGAAATTTTCATTTCCAAGAAAAATATCATCCAACCAAACAAGTAATTGTTTGGTTAATAAGTAATTGTTTTTTTATCAAATTTTCTTTGTTATATATAGGTACATTAATAACTAAATGTTTTTTTAACTTATCAGTAGCACGGGTCCTAAATTAGTAGTCAACTAAAATTGAAGTTGACAAGTTGTTGAATTCGATGAAGAAGTTAGTGATGAAGTCTTTGTAAAATCAATTAGAAATCTACATAAAATTATTTAAATGACATTATTATCTATCTACAATATATATTAAAAGACGTTTCTAAACAAGTTTAGGAACCACATGGCACTCTCCTTATTTTTTTACTCAAATATGGTTCTTGTAAGATTTGAACCCACAATCTTAAGTTTAAATTATAAAGTATTAGCCACTAAGCTATTACCATGTTACATGGTATTTAATAATAATTAAATATTAATAACGATTTTTATCATAGAAATAATATAGTAAATCGGGGCATCGTCCGGGCCTAAATACTAGATATTTCATTATTTGTTGTTAAACCGGAAAAAAGAAGCCGATGGAACCACCAAAAAGCTTAAGGAAGTTGATTGGGCTCAGTTCGTACATCATTTACAAACCGAACATGACTGTTCAGTTTTATGGGCCTACAATGAAGCCTAGTTAATGAGCTGGCTAGGGCGAGTTAACCAGGTTGGGCTGGGCTGTACTGGGCCAACTCAGGACCTCTGACCCACTGTTTCTAGCTGTTGGATTTTTATATGTTTTTTTTATTGTAAAGTCGTTTCCTCCGTATTATGCAAAGGATACAACAATCAAAGTATCAAACAATGGGGTAGTTGTAGTTCACTAGTAAAAACAAGGAGTATATGCATTTTAATATTGGGGAAAAAAAGGTTAGTTTTTTTTTTTTTCATGAATCACGAATCTCCACAAGTATTGTTTATTTTTGTACCTTTTTTTTCATCGCAAGGGAACAAAAAGAAAAAAAAAAAAAAAAAGGAGCTTTCATAGATTAGCATAACAAAAATTTAGGTGGTTTATTTTCTTCAATTCGTATAGAAACTGGCTTGGCCAACTAGGCGAGTTTAGTTTGAGATTAATATATGAATTGCTATTTAGTTGAAAACTCGATTTGAGCTTGAAAGTTGTGACCAAGTAAGTACGAAGTAATATTTTAGGTTATAATATTCAAATTACGTGAGTTCTCGCTATATTTGAGATCCTTAAGCCTTAACATCAATATACGCCTAGTGAACATGCAGTGATGTTTACTTTGTAATGAGTTACTAGTTTTTTTTAACCTCTCATTACAAATGATTGTGAAATGATCTCATCTAAAACAAGCATGTTCTATTACAATTTACAAATTGCTACCTATATTAAGTTTTAAGATGAAACATATTGCCTTATTATCATTGTTACAAAATTAAAGCATTAAAAGATGAAACATAAAATACTAATATTGATGTATTGTAAAGGAGAGGATATATATTTGATACTCTATAGAAGCTCGTTTATGCTTGATAACGAATCCCCTTTTAATCAATTGACGGACAATATATTCTCCTTGATCCTTTATCATAATCTAATTGTCACCAATCAAAATTACACTTAATAACACGACTATTAATGATGGATACAGTCCACACAGAGAGCAAACTTTTGTAACCTCAACTCTTCGTAAAATCGATCAATGAATTCTTGTGCTGCACTATCCACACAATTCATGTCAAATCATAATAATCATCATCAACATTACAATCACCATACCTCTCCATTGTAATAATTTTAGATGGACCATTCGTAATTCTAAGGGCATCATCATGGTGTTGATAATTGTGATTGTAGTAGCATAATGAACGAGGGTAATACTATCTTTTACTTTTGGACCTTCTGATCACGTGCACGGGGGATGCCGGACTACTACAACTAAATTCATACTCCTTCGGATAGTTGACTGTCACGTGTACATCCATTGACCGGCATGATTGAGTGTGGTGATGGTGTATGATATCACCTAGAGACCTTGCTAAGATTTTAACACGTGTTTTTATACGGCTAAGATCAACCATTGGCTTGATTACTAATCAACACTTTTGCTAATTATTAGAGAAAATATCGGCAAGTTGTTCATTCGTCGAGAGAGAGAATAGTGGAAGAATTGTAGTTCTCAAAGATTTAGTGAAAACATCGATAAATTGTTCATCGGTTAAAAAGAAGAATGGTTGAGGAAATAGTTGGGAAAGCTCTACATATTCAAATAATATATGTTTTGTTGTTTTGGGAAGTATAAAGTCTAAGCTAAATAGATGTAGTGAATAAAATACTTAATTAAGATTATTAATTATATTATAATCAGTGATAAATAAATGTGATTGTAGGTTACTTCATAGAATGTTACATCTACCTTGTGGTTAGTTCAACCATTACTCATTAGAGATCAACAATTAATAATAATGTCTTAATGGGTGAACCAATTAGTAGATATTTATGTCTTAATGGCCGGGTGAACCAATTAATAGATACTAGGTTAGCTCCCGTGCCATGCACCGTAATTTTCAATAACCATTATTAAACTACGATTTTAATTAATTTTTTTTATAAACATTGTAAATATATTGTTGACAAATTTTGATTATAATAAAGGATTACAAAAGATACGTTAGATATAAAATGATGTAGAATGATTAAAATAATGTTAATAATTTTTTTTATAGCTATATAAATATTTGTGTTAAACATATGCCAAATATTTTTTTTTTATTTTTAAGTAATTATATTGTATAAGATTAGGGAATTATTTATGTATAAGATTTTTTTTCTTTAATTGAAATTCATTCAAAAAAAAAAAAAAAAAAGAAAACTAAACTAAGGACACACCAGAAGATGACACGTGTCATTACTGGTGTGTCTTTTAGTATATTTTTATTGATTTTTTTTATTTCTTTTTTGGTAGAAAATTTATTTCTTACTCCATGAAGTTCATGTGTTGTTGTGCTTTTAGTGTTGGTATAGTCGAATTAATACTCGTAATAGATAATGAACTAATATTGAAGCGATGTTTATAACGTTTATTTTTGTGGAATTCCAAGAATTTTAATACTGAGTACTTATTACTTTTTTGTTAGCAATTATAAAAAAAAGTAAAAAAAATTAAATTACAACAAAAATAGTTTATTAGTGTAAAATTACTACATGAATTATATATTTACATTACTCATAATAGATATGGAAATGAAAAGCTCATGAAAATGAGATACTCTTGTGAAGATAAAAAAGTGAATAAGATGGAGAATTTTGTTTACTACTTTCTCTATTTATATCCCACGTACAAGTTGGTTACATATATAATAAATGTGCAATTAGATATAGGCTAAGGAACTTTAATTTCTGACAAAGACCGTACCTAACAAATTAAATCTTACAATTACGTACCATGTTAAAAAATCGCCAACCTCAGTAAGTCATTAACTCACTATAAATATATGAGTTTGAAAGTAGCTAAGGACATATTATATTGTTGTCCCTCAAAAAAATGGAGGAAAAGTGGGAAGGGAAGGTGTCAACAACCCTACCAAGCACTAAACCACACCAAATTTGGCCACTTTTCAAGGATTTCTTCAACATTCACAAATATTTTCCTACCCTTTCCAATTCCTATGGTGTCCATGGTACTAATGGTGAGGTTGGTTGTATCAGAGTTTGCGTCGGTTCTTCTAGGAGTTTCTTCCTACCAAAAAAGGATTTTGATTCAAAGATCAACGGTGAAGAATTGGTTAGTTTGTCCAAGGAGAGATTAATAGCCGTTGATGAAGTGAACAAGAGTTTAAGTTATGAGATAGTAGAGTCAAACATTGGATTAACTTCATATGTAGCAACGGTCATGATTAGCCAAGGTGGTGATGATCAAGGTAATGAAGGGTGTGTGATTGAGTGGAGTTTTACCGTTGATCCTGTTCAAGGGCTAAAATATGAGGATTCGGTGAAGAAGTATGAAGTGAGTTTGCTAAAGATGGCTAAAGCAATGGAAGATTCTCTTATTACAAGTTCATAAATTTTATTATTATGGTGGAATTTCTAGTGAAAATTTTTATGGTTTTCCAATTTGTTTATGTTGTGCACTATTTAATTAAGCGTATTAATTAAGTTTGTCGAATGATATGTATTATTGACGCACATTTACTTCCTCCGTTTTTTACTTGCAGCATTCTGAAATCTACTCTATTCATATGCTCCAGTAAAATTGCACACACTTTTATATGTGGTTATACACATCGTGTGGCTAGTCATTAACGGGGGTTAATTAGTCTTAAAGGAGTTATTCGGTCAGTGTTATAGGGGTTACCTTGTTAGTTTTATAAGATTACTTGATCAGAAATTACTCGATCAGTGTTATAAGAGTTACTTTGTTTCGTTACAAGCGACTACATGGTGTGGCCAGCAACATACAAACGCGTTGATAAAACTGTATATTAGTTTTTTTTTTTTTCCTTTGGTTATTGATTTACAACCACCATCATCATCATCATCATCATCATCATCATTATTATTATTATTATAACAAAAACCTACAAAGTCAATTGATTTACAAGAAATTAGTGGGGAGCCGAGATACAATCTGGGCCCCCACCCCTCTAGCTATAGCGAACCCGATCCTGTTGAAGATATGAGCAGCTGCACGAGCACCAATATCCTGAGTCCTAGCAAACGCTTGAATCCGCTTCAGCAACGCAACAACATCCTTCTCTAATTCCCCCAATGAAGAAAAGGAGAAAGGAAAAAACCCATAGCCAATTGCCCTGCAACACGCCCCATACTTGTCCCGCTTCCGCTGAGCCGCAGCCGACACAACACGACCAGGAACAAAGTCAGATAACCCAGATTGAGTCAAAGGAGAACACCCCGTCAAGTCAACACATACATCAAGACCTCTTTCCCAGGAATAAAGCAACACATCTGCCGGTCGAAGGCCCCCGTCATTCCCTCCAGTCAACCCAACGTTAACCTCCTTCCTTGCAGAAATCCCAGAGCGGAAACAAATATCAACAAGGGTATCACGAACAACGTTGTGCCGATATTTAATACCTACCATCCCAGCACAAGACACCGCATGATCCCCATAAATATCCCCATCAAAAACTCTAGAGCAAGCAGAACATGGAGTCGAAACGGAGAACAAGGGAACACCCAACCGGTAGCAAAGAACACAACGGTAAGTCTTACCATTCATAGTCTGACCCAAACCTGATATCGGGACCGCTCGCAACCAGGCAGATGTGTGATCCCCCTGCTGGGACTTCCATAAGGCGACCTGACGCGGAGATAAGGAGAAAGTGGATTCTACAGATGCAGTGACCTTCGCGAAATATATATCTGCCAATTTTTCCATGAGGTTAGGGGCAGCGATCTCACTAGGGTTACGCAAAAGGTCAGTATCCACAGTCCTATTAAAAAGACTAAGAGCGCCATCGGAGGCCGGACCTGGACCATCAATACCAGAATTGCGAAGAAGCGAAGTCTGAAGACCAGAAGACTGCAAACGCGACGCAAGGAAAGCATAGTGACGAACATCACCCGCTGAATAGACACCCAATCCACCATAAGAAAAAGGTAAGGTGGCAAGTCGCCATTGCCAATCACCAAAACCTGGCCCCGAAGCAGTTACAATGCGCTCCAAAGAACCTCGAAGGGCCACATCAAAAGAAACCTGGGCCGCTTCAAAAAGACGAGGAGGACACCAAAACTAGAAATGCCAAAACTAATATGACTGATCCGACTTGAAACAATATAATCAAATTCAGATTTCGACTTTATAAAAACACAATACTTTAGCATAAAATACATATAAGACGACCTGATCTTACTAAACCTTACCTAAACATTCAAATTGACACCTCTAAACTTCAAGTAATAAACTTCCCTTCTTTTAATTGCTTGGCAGTTCATAACTCCACATCGACCGGGAAGTAATTTTTGTAAGTTTGCAACGAAGTTATTCGCATCAACATAGCGTTCACAAATCAATTAAGATGCGTCTAAAGAGATACCTTTTGGCTTTTGATAATGTTTTGTTTATTGTGATGAGGATCGAATTCTTTTTTTTCTATTTTTTTTTTTTCTTTTTTAATGAATAGATGGTCTGTTTTTCTTCTTCCCCTTCTCCAATAGATGATCTCTTTTTCTTCTTCCTCTTGTCTCTTTCTCATGCAATAGTTTTCTTACAGATTAGACCAATATAAATATAATTTGACCAATTTTATACTACTTCTGTTACATTAACTTGGTGTACTAAGAAGAAAATATTTGCATTGCAGCATTAGTATTATTATGTACTTATGTGTTATGTAGTTATGTTTATTGTAATGCTGTAGGGCGAGAAGTATATCTTATGATAATGTGTACGTACTAAAACAACTAGTTAATAATTACGTGTCAAATCTATCAATAAACACTCAAAAAATAATCACAGGGCCATTTCACATATAAACAATTAAATGAGTAATGGAGTTACTTGTTAGATGAATGAGGGGTTATCGCAATGGAAAAAATGGGGTTACTTTCATTACAAAGTGGAGTTATTCTTTTAATAATAAAAAAATATAAGAAAGGATGTTTTACTAGATCGAATTGAATGAACAAATTGGATTATTTTTTTAAAAAATTGATTTTACTCTTTAAATTGGGTTACTCTATGGGCAAAATTAGGTTATACATATGAATAATTAAGATTACTCATATAAACGAATAATAATTAAACTTATAAACAAATGTGGTTACACCATGTGGTTAGCCACACATAATGACACAAGACTTTCACTAAAATAATAAATTAATTAAAAATATATATATACAATCAGTTTGTACTATATCTTTTTTTTTCCTTGTGAAAATAAAATACTGGAGTTTGATAATTTATGACTTCTGAATCCCAATGTAGTACTTCATGAATTTTGAAATATTTTTTTGTTTTGTCTTGCACTACTATATAAATATAATGTTGACACTCAAAATTTAAAATCTTAGATCCATCTCTATAATTACTAATATTTATTTCAATGAACGCGATCCAACTAAACTAAAATTTTAACATTACCAACTATATATATTTAATCAAAATATCATTTGTTTTCTTAAACAACTAGTAGAACTTATATTAGATTTAACGTTCAAGCATAGCTAGCCAAATTAACATTCCATTAAAAAAAAGGTTTTAAAGTACTTTATGAAAACTTTCGTGTCTCACATTGTTGAACAGTATTTTGATTTGTAATTTGTTTTTCTTCTTTCTCTGAGATGAACCATGCATTTCTCTGAGGTTTAAAAGAACAAAGCGAAAAAAATAAAATGATAACAAACCATCAACCAAATTAGAAGAACAAATTTGTGTTGTGGTTCATATTCAACTAGGGCCCATGCCAACAATACACTATCTTTTAATCCACTCCTTTACATCTAAACAAATGTCAATGGTGTAAGGCTTATACAAAAAAATGACAATATTATATTTTAGTTTAAAATAATTATAATATTAGAGAATAACTACAAGATGTCAACGTTACAAATGATAAATGTATCACCTTTTGACAATGAAGCTACTCTTTGAGTCTCTGTTAGTTACGGAGTACTCCTTTGATTTGCGTGACGATGGTCTTATTAATTAAAATAAAATTAAAATAGGAATAACTTTTAAAAATGGTTCGGGAGTAATTAACATCCAAAAAGCTAAAATATTATAGATTAAAATTATATTTCTCGATCTCCATGTCACGTATTTTTGCAAATAACCAATACGAAGTATATAGCTACATTTATAGACATTTGAATTACTAACGTGACAATTCATACAGTCCCATCACAAAGTAATTAATAAAACCCAAACAAAAAAAAAAATCTCAAAGAAATATTTAAGGTAAGACATAACCCCCACAAGCACTCTCTACTTTAATTTGTTGGTCCACTTAATCTATTGTATGTATGTACAACAATTCTTGGTCTATAAAAGCTCATTCTTAATCATCCTTCTTCACCCCATAAACTCACCTTAAAAAATTCAAATCTTTTATATTCTCTCACTAATTTCTCTCACTAAAAATGGGAGACCAAGCTCAAGAGTCAGCCAAATGGGAAGGAGAGACAATAGTAGAGCTAAAACTCACACCACAACAAGCATGGCCACTCATAGCAGATTTTTGCTCCTTAGACAAATGGTTTACTCACCTTGAGAAGTGTTACCTAGTAGAAGGTGAACTAGGTGAGCCAGGCATGGTTAGGTGTTGTGAGTCCTCAAAGTTCGGAGGCGACGGCGTGGCTCGGTTTGCTAAGGAAAGGCTTATATCCATTGATCCATCACAGATGTGTTTGTCCTATGAAGTTCTTGATAACAACGCAGGGTTCAAGTCTTATGTCTCAACCATGCGGTTGTTTCCGAGCGACGGCGGTGATGATGATGATGATGATGGAAGAAGTGGGTGTAAGTTTGTGTGGACGTTTGAAGCTGATCCTGTTGAAGGGTTTACCTTAGAAGGTCTTTGTGAGATTTTTAAGGCTATTGCTCATGGCATGGTTATTAAGATGGAAGAAGCTTATAGTCAATGTGAAGCTAATTAAAATATTGAAGCTTTTATGTATTATTTATCTTATATTATGATTTTAGTTTATTATAATCTCAAAAAGTTGTAATTTATGCTAGTAATTAAATTGTATTATTATTGGAGCTTTTAATTTAATAGGTGTCGTTATGAGAATCTTCTGAATAAATAAAGGTTCAATTTTTATATCGTTGTCTCGTTATTTTGTTAACTCATTGAAACTATGTTACTAAGTGAGTTTACTTAATAACCGATTATCAAATGAACTTTACATATCATTGGTCACATTATTTTCTACTCATCGATTCGTGTATGTCACTAGTAGAATCCACTTACATACGTTAACCTAAACTTATCAATTCTTATATCCTTGATAATCTAGCTAGTTTCTACTTTTTTCATAAACTTGAATAACACTACATGTATTAATGCAATATTCATTTTTCTTGTCTCAAAACATGCTTGT